CGGCTATTAAATCCCCCCCTCGTTCTTCTCTTCTGCAGACTAAATAAGCCCAGTTCCCTCAGCCTCTCATAAGTCACATGCCCCAGCCCCCTAATCATTTTCATTGCCCTCTGCTGGACTCTCCAATTTGTCCACATCCTTTCTGTAGCGGGGGAGAGAGGGCAAAACTGGACACAATACTCCAGATGTGGCCTCACCAGTGCCAAATAGAGGGGAATAATCACTTCCCTTGATCTGCTGGCAATGCTCCTACTAATGCAACCCAATATGCCGTTAGCCTTCTTGGCAACAAGGGCACACTGACTCCTATCCAGCTTCTCGTCCACTGTAATCCCCAGTGCAGCCAAATCTAGACTAGACAAAGCAGGGAACAGACCCAATAGATCTCTTTGGTCTTTGATAGCTTCTTCATACTCACCTTCCTGGGTCTACATAATCGCACCGCCATCTCCCCTCTACGTTCCTCTTGCCCCCTGTCCTCGTCAACACCTTCTTACCACTGTCAGCTCCAAGCCCTCCCCCCGCCAAACCTGGAATTGCCTCCAAGTTGCTAGTACAGCCCCAATAACCAGCACTTGGTGATCAGAGGAGAAGTTCTCCATTTAACACGTTTCTGCTACACTGAGAACATTGAGTCCTCTATAGGTTACTGAACCCAGTCCTGGAAACGTGACGGGGATGGGAGAGAGATCATTAAACAAAGATGGATGCGAACGGATGTCCTCCCCTGTTTCTCTTACACTGCGAAAGGGAGTTATTTGGTGCAACGGGATTTTCAGACTCTTGTAATGGAAAATTAACTGAGACCGAGATGGGCTCAAATTCAGTTTCTAGACAAGATCTTTGCTCTGAGATGGTAGTTAGAGCAGGGGGCCGGGACAGGAGTCCAGACCACTAGTGACTCACTGCAGTACCACGATCACAGGACCTCTGTGACTCGGTTTACCCAGAGGTAGGTTGTAAAGTGCTTTTAGCGCTCCAGCCGAAGGGAAGTAGGCAATTACAGAGTATCATTATAAAGCAGTGGCCAAAGCCTAGACAGGACTCCCTTAAAGATACAGTGCAGGGGGATTGTCTAAGATTGCTCAAGCAGCTCAAAGTCCATTCAAGATAAAGGCACCTCACACTGCCCTTTACATGGAGATTCCGCTTCCTTCAGCCAGTGAACAAAACAAGGGCGTGAGCTCCTCAGGCAACACTAGCCAGCAAGCAGCTGCCTTGTCCTATTTCCACCAGGCCCTATAGCCATGCTCTTAGTTTCACGTTGCAATCCTCCCCTTGCCAAGCTGCAGGACCACATGGGGCATTATTCTCACCCCACAGAGGAGACCACCGCACACATCCCTTCACAGGCCAAGCACGACTTCTTTCCTACTGCTGCTTCGCAGCAGAAATGGGCCGCAACCGAATGATTAGATCCTGCAACGCTGGGAGTGTACAAGTCTGCCTAGACCTCCCCTCCCCTCGAGTTTGAAACCCACACAGCATCTGTGTCCATTCCTCACAGGGCAGGCACAGCTCATGAGTAATGATCCCAATATGGCTCAGTTTCACTATGGGAACAGGAGATGCAAAGCAACAGTTTATCGGGGGCTAGGATCTCAGGCTATTAAGAGCTCAAAATCTAGTTCCGAGCAACAGTTCCTGTTTCAGAACACAGGCACCACAGGGCAGCCTGCCCATCGCTTGGCGTTCTGGTGCCAAGCCACTCACTTTCGTACGCACCACCCGCATAAGCAGGCAGTCACCGAATGCCAAGCGGGGCTGTGCTGGGAGCTGGTCTGTAAGTTCAAGCTCTCAGGTTTTTCCAATGAGTAATGGAATGGTTTTAAAGGGGCCCAACAGGGCAAACTCTAGATCAAGGAATCAACAAGGCTATGACGTGTAGCAGGCTCACCGAGGTAACTGGGTTAAAGAGTAGAACTGAGTCTATTAGTCCCTTGAACATACGGCATTTATGGAAGCGGGCAGCACGTCCCTGAATATGCTGGAGCTTGTTTTCTACAGACAAGAAACAACAACGTTGTCCTGTGCATAAGGCACAGAACATCTCCCTCTCTGTTTGGAGATGATCTATCACAAGCTACACCTGTCTGCACTGAAGCGTTAACATGCAATTAACTAGCACTCTCCATGCAAAACAAATTTAATATTAAGCCCCAGCACCACTCCAGCAGGCAAGTACCCCCCCCGTTCCGCTCCCCCAATCTGTCTGCAGATAAAACAGGCACAGCTGTGGCTCAAATGTACACAACCATTTAAGTTGCAGAGCTAGCCACACCAGCCACCCTTCCTGCTCTAACCACTAGACTACACTTCCGCTGGGAACAGCGCAACCCACAGCAAACCCTGGTGGGTGGCTGCCCACAGTGGCAAGTGCAGAAGGTTTAAGACACCAGAGCAGGAGTCTCCAGGCGGGGCACGCCACCTCTGCTAGCTCGCAGCCCCAGAGCAACTTGAGCATGACCGATGTCACTCTGCTTGGCTGCCATTTTCAGCCATCCCCCCAGCCAGAACAGCTCCCCATTCACACCCTGGGGTGCAGAGAACTACACAGGGGAGGGGTGAAAGGGTCACACCGCATTCCCCGGCCCCACTACACAGCAGGAGGCAGAGTCACCCCCACAACACCCACCCTGCAAGGCCCGATTCGGTTTGGCCCCTCAGCTGGGGGCTCCTGTCCCCGCAGGGTGGGGGGAGAGCGGGCAGCGTGGCAAGAAGCCAAAGTTGCCCCAGTCGGAAATGCTCACCCAGGGGGATCGGCCCAGCCTGAGAGCCAACGGGGATCAACGCCAGGTCCCAGGCGGGAGCGGATGCATGCTACAGAAACACAGCCCGGGCGGACGGGAAGCAGGAAAGCGCCCCCCTCTCCCCTGCGGTAACCGGACGCACCCGGTCCCCTCCATCGGCCCGACCTACGCAGCTGCAGAGCAGGGACTCTGCTCCCGCCCCCACCTACCCCCCTTGCTGTGTAAACCAACGGGTAGCGCGCACCCAGCGGTCTGGAGCCCCCCCCCCCCCCCGGGTCGTGCCCCCTTCTAGATCACGCCCCCCCCGCGCGTCTCCTCCCCAGGTCCAGATCACGGGCCCCCGCTCTAGATCCACACCCCCCCCAGGCCTCCTTGAGCCTGGCCCCCGGGCGAGCCGCGACCGCGCTCACCTTGCGCAGCGAGCCCCGCTAGGTCAGGGCATGCTGAGGCGGATCCCGGCAGGGCCCGGGGGCTGGAACACGCCTCGGCCGGTTCTTCTGCAGCCGCCCCGCAGCGAACGTTGGCGACCGTGAGATTCGGTCGGGCCGCGGCGGCCAATGGGAGCGCCCGCCCGTTGTCTCAGCGTTCCGAAATGGAACGACCGGTTGGGTTGCCAATCGCACCCCGCCCCTGCTCCCGGCTCGTCACACGTGGGCGGAACCTGACAGCTCTTCGCCTTAAAGACACAGCGGGGCCAGGGCAGGGGTTGGGGACATGGGGCCGGGGGGGCTCAGCTCTAGCACAAGCAGATGGTCATGGTCCTACATACCGAGCTGATAGAGACTCTGGGGGTGTACCCCCCACCACACACTAGCATCCCTCATTCCTAAATTAGGGTTGCCACCTATGCAGGTTTTCCCAGGAAAACCTTTTTTGAGGTCGCTGTCCAGGGAGTGGGAGATCTGTAAGGGTGTTCAGTACACACTGCCACCTGTGCAGCTTTATGGGCTCAGGATCCTCCCGGATGTCCTGGCTTTTGGGTAGCTCAGAGGTGGCAACCGTAGCTTGCCCCAGTCACAGCCCAGGAGGAGCCCACTGTGCTGGGCGTGGTACAAACAGAACCAAAAGAGGGTCTCTGCCCCCACAGGATCTGAGGATGAGACAAGATGCAGCAAGTGAATACAGACAGAAGGGGTGGAGGGAGCACAGTGAGACAATTAGCATTGTTTTATGAATTAATATTTGCTAGTTATGATTAATAACCTGTCTCCTTTTGCCCACAAAGACAGCCAGCGTGTGGTGCAGACAATGAAATACATTGAAATCAATTAAAACAATGGGGAGTCCAGTGGCACCTTAAAGACGAACAGATTTATTTGGTCATAAGCTTTCACGGGTAAAAAAAACCCACTTCATGAGCAGAGCCTAAGGGAGACCTTAAAGGCTGAGGCCCTACCTGCTCCATGTTGATGTTGAAGAGAGGCCTAGACTGGACTAGGACTCTGCAGACTTAGGTTCTAGTCCCAGCTGGGTGACTTTGGGACAGCACCTTGCCTCAGTTCCCCCTTCTGTGAAATGGGGCTAATGATGCTGACCTTGTTTGTAAAGCACTTTGAGATCTGCTTGGTATTATTTTCCTAGCAGTAGATGTTCGTCCCAGCATCCTTCACAAATACATCCCCTCTCTTTCACCGATTGCTGCCCTTCACCCCAGAAATGGCTGCATTTCAGTAGTTTGGGGGGGCGCTGTGGATCTTTCACGAGGACGGGAGCTATAATAAAAATGAACAAAGCACCTCTAATGACTGCTGCAAACAAGATGTATGAACAATAAGGCTGTAGTGCTAGTAGTGTGTCATTAAAACATTCCACATCACACATGAAAACAGTGAGGTTGCATCACTAGCGTTCTCTTCTCACCATCACTGTTACGGGGGGCTCTGCTGGGATACATGAGGGTATGAGAAGCTATCTAAAAACCGTGCTCGGAGCAGCACAGCTAGAAGAGTTCTCAGCTGTAGGCGAGAATGAACCGCAAAGGAGAATGGGGACAGATTTCCCCCCAGGGACCAAATAAAGGGAGATTTGCACCAATTTGTGTGTCTGCACAAGACAGGCAGCTGCAATCACTTCTCCTCCGGAGTAGGGGGGAGGTTAAAAGCAGGCATCCTCTGAGCCTGGGAAATTTGTTAGCACCCCTGTCAATGAAGGGGTTAAAAGAGGGAGAGCCCAGCCTCCATCAAGCTTGGCTGTAGTGTGCGAAGGGCCGGCCCCTGCTTCCTCTAGGGCTGTGTCAATGTAACACACCCTGCCAGGAGGAACAGCCAGCCCCACTGGCTGCAGCTGAGAGGAGTAATGGCTGCCACTGGAGTGCTCCCCTTTATCAGGGGGGTGGATCTGAGTGGGAATGACTTCAAGGTAACTCAGGGCCCCCCTTAAACTGGGCTGGGTGGGGGGAGGGGAGTTTAATTCTGGGGCTGGGCTGTGGGCAAAGCCCAGGACTGGGAGACAGACAGGGAGGTGGCCGGGCAGCTCCCAGAGTCTAGGCCCTGCCTGCTTCCTGCCTGGCTAATTTTAGACAGTTGCTCACCCCTGTGGCTGCACCGTGGACTTTTCTCCTCCAGAGGCCCCCCAGGGATCTGAGCGGTGCCTGCCTCTGTTGAGCTGATTTTTGAGAGAGGAGGAGAGATGGTGTTTAGTGGCCAGAGATGCCTGGCAATTTCAGAGCCCCTTTGTGCAGCCGTGGAGGGAGAGATGAATGGATCCCAGGGTAGGCCTGTGGCTGAAAAGCGCTATGTATTGTCATGTTGGTTCTGGTCCATGCTGTTATTAATGGCTGCATCGATGAGATTTGGCGCTTGTCTAGCATTTTTAATCCAGGGCTCCATGCACTGAAACTAATCATGATCCCTGTAAAGGGGACAAGTATGTAAAACAGCGGTTCTCAACTGGGGACCTGGGGCCCCCTGGGGGTCCTGAGCAGGTTCCAGGGAGTTTGCCAAGCAGGGCCGGCATTAGACTTGCTGTGGCTCAAGCCAAAGCCCCACCATATGGAGATGAAGCCCAGGTCCTTGATCCCCGACTTAGCTTCATGGGCCCCCCAGGCACCTGCCCTGCTTGCTATCCCTTAATGCTGGCCCTGGCTTTTATATGCAGAAAATCAGTTGTTGTGACACAGATGGGCCGTGGAGTTTTTCTAGCATGTTGTGGGAGTCTGGGGCTCAGAAAGAAAAAGGTTGAGAACCTCTGATGCATCGCAGAGAGATGAAATGACTTGCCCACGCTGGCAGAATTGGGAATAGAACCCAGGCACTGTTGTTCCCGGTCCCCTGCTCTAACCCCTCAACCGTGTTTCCTCCTTGGTAATGCTGCTCTTCGGAGTTCTGTTTCCCCAACCTAAGCTCCGACCAGGGGTCGAAATGCTGCTGGGGGCTGGTAGTCCTTTGGCCATGCTCGCAGGTCACCCCTGTTTGCCTGGGCCCATTACTTGCCCTTGGTCACAAGTGATTTTTGCTTGTGTACGTGAGACATCAGTGACTCACCCAGCTTTGTCCCGTGGTGTGACATGACTGATATTTTGTGCCTGCATAATCTGACTACACTACTAAGAAGCTTGGCCCCTGGGATGACCCAATGTGCTACATTTATACTGATTCCTACCAGGCATGAAACTGTAACCAGGCCTGGCAGATAATGAGCTCACGCTGGCCCATGCTGGTCGCTGCATTTGAGGAGCAGGATTTCAGCTCTGCCGGCCCGTGATGGGGCCCACAGAGATTTTACCTCCTCTGAGGTTAAAATTCAGGTTCTTCCTTTGCGATTACCCCTCCCCCCCACCCAACAACTGAGCCCTCCCATTCCAGTGTTGGCATACCTGACCTGGAAGGTAGTTAAACAAAATAATAGCCACTTAGGCCCTGGTCGTGCCAGCGGTTCCATGCAGGTGGGCCCCCGTTGGTATGATTGGGGACGGGCGCAGGGGTCTGTCTTGTGAAGTGGCTGGCAGGGTTGTGACCTCCGCCTGTCGCTGGGAACCTACTGCTAAGCAGGCCCTTAAAACGCAGTTGCACAATCTGGGTTAAGCAGTTGGCACATTAGAAAGGCCTTTTGTTGCAGGTCCGTGCATCTGCAGGCTGGGTTGGTTTTTTTTAGAAAAGAAATCGTCTTCCTAACAGAGGTGGCAACATGCCTGCTAAGGCCGTGATCCTGCAGTGCCCGAAACTCGTGCATGACATCACTCAGGGGAGCAGCTTCCTTGAAGCCAGTGAGCAGATGCTTGTGAAGGAAGTTACACGTATGCTTGGGCCTCTGCAGAATCAGGGCCAGCTGGTGTCAGTTCATGTGATTTTTATGCTGCCTCCAAGCCCCCTAATCTTGCGTAACCTGCCTGACCATTGCTCCATTCATACTCTGCTATGGAGATGTTCCCCTCCCCTATGTCAATTCCCAGGGCCGATCCTAGCTGGGCATGTGTGCACTGGGATAGTTTCTCTAAAACCTGTAGACAAGGCACCTGCAGCCACCCGTATTCTAAGCTAAGAGGGCAACCGTGATCCTCGGCTGCATAAGCGGGGAAATAAATCCTAAGCAGGGTGGGGGAGGGCAGGGGAGGGGTCGAGAGCCACACAGGCGGGACAGCAGGGGGCTGCTGTTAGGGTGGAAGGTCCCGGGGTAAGAATCCCATGTGGGAGCTGCAGGATGTTTGGGGGCGGGAGTCAGGGGCTGAGAGCCGTTGGGGTGGGGGCGGCGGGGTGCTGCTCAGAGTCCTGTCCAGCTGTCTCTGCGCCGATCCGATGCATCCGCCTCATGGTAACTGCGACGTCCGAGTGCATTTCATTGGGAGTTTGTTACAATAAGTCCTACCCAGTCAGAACGGCCTGTCGCCTTGGTATGTTTGGCAGGGATCTTGGGAAAGTGGCCTTGGTTAGTTTCACACCTGGGGTGTGGTGGAGGGTGTTAAGAGCACAGGATCTGTTTCATCTCAGGTGGATGGGAAACCTGGCAATGCCCATTTCTCTGCCCATCGGATGCCGTAAAATGCCTCTTTCTCTCCCCCTCTCCTCTCAGGGGGGCTATTTTCCTGACCACGTGAAGTCCATGACCAGCTTGCGATGGCTGAAGCTGAACAGGACGGGCCTGTGCTACCTGCCGGAGGAGCTCTCTTCCCTCCAGAAACTGGTAAGAGCTGTGCAGAGACCTGCCAGCCCTCGCTGCTGCACGGACGCTCCTCTTGGGAAGCTGGGCTTTTGGGAGGGGGGTGTGAGTCGTAATGCAGGTGATCGCATGGCGCCGTTGAGCGCCAGTGAACAGAGCTGGCAGGCTTCAAACAGAAAGCATCGTGGGCAGGCAGACCCACCCGAAAGCTTCCCCTACAAGCATCACCCTCATAATACCTAGTTTTTAACTAGTGCTTTTCGTCCATACAGTCTCAAAGAGCTTTGCAAAGGAGGTCAGTGTGATTATCCCCATTTCATAGCTGGGGAAACTGAGGCACGAGGAGGTGCTGTGACTCACCCAGCAGGCCAGTGGCCAGCCAGGAATAAAACCCTTGTGGCTTGGTCCGGTGCTCTATCTGCTAGGCCATACTATCTCCCCTGCTGTGCATTCCAGTGTGCGTGTGTACACACCCTCTTTAAGGGTGACCTGCAAAGGATCTTTAAAAACGGGGCTTGGGTCTTTTCTTTAGCCAAAGTGCTCATTAGATGTTGGAATGAAATCAAGAATGGAGTCCCCCCTGTGCGAGGCGCTGCACGGTCTTTCTCTCCCGCCGCTGCTTGGCTTTCACTGTCTTGTGATAAGAGGAATGTGGTGGATTCACCATCACTTGAAGTCTTTTAAGTCCAGACTGGGCATCTTTGTAAAAGATCTCTTGTCGCTCAATCAGAAGTGATGGGCTTGATGCGGGAACTGCTCTGTGGTTTTGTGTCGCCTGTGTTCTAACTAGGTAATTCCAAGGCCTTGGAATCGGTGCATCTGTGTCATAACTTCACTAGTTCTCCATAGAGCCTTCCTTTGTAGACAAGATCTGACTATCTAGTGGTGTGGGCAAACGCACCTCCTCTCCGGCCTGCTTTCTACATTATAAAGAAGCAAAAATGGGCTCAAATCCCAATTTTGTTTATTTTTTCTTTTCAGATTCTCTTTAATGGAATCCCGTCAGGTTAAAACTCTCGCTTATAACCATGCCCCCAGGAACTCCCATGATCTGTGTGACTGATGCTGTCCTAGATGTCAGTCTAGTGGCTGCGTGCCTGCCTGACCTCCCTCATGTGACTGGTCTCAGGGATGTCAGTGCGATGACACACAGGGGTCAAGTTAAACTTGCTCATAAGCGTTTGCAAGAGGGAAGCTTTTGCTGATTAGAGTGGAGTGAACATCTTTAAACCGGATTCACCAGTCGTTTGATTTCTGTTTGTAACCAAACAAAAATAGTTCAGTCAATTTCACTTCTGTTCTTTGCCTATTCACTTTGTAGTCAGTTTCACTTAGAGGTTCCCGTGTGATCTCTCTATACCTAGTTTTTAAATAGAGCTTTTCATCCATAGATCTCAAAGAGCTTTACAACGGAGGTTCTTCTCCATTCAAGGCATTTATCTTAGCCCCCACACAGTCTTTTCATGTGTTTATCCTCACAACACCACTGGTGGTAGGGAATGTGGTAAACTGAGGCACAGAGACTGTGGTGTGCCCAAGACTACTCAGGAAGTCTGTGGAATAGCAGGGAATTGAAAGACCCTGGGTCTCCTGAGTCCTATTGAGGCCACCCTGCCGCTCAACAAAATGACGCAATGTTTGGGATGCAGCAGGACGAATATTTAGAAAATAAATAAATTCCAGTTTCCGTTGGAATGAGAAAAGCAAACGCTGGGAAACTCTTCTCTAGCATCCACCTGCCGAGGGGTGTCGAGGGCCTATAAAAACAATGGTTTGCAAAACAAGCCGGAGTGTTTGGGACTTGACTGAAGGAGCCTGCCTCTGTTCGGAGCATGGTTTGATGCTCTAGTTCCTGACGGGATGACAAAAGCAGAATAATCCTTTATTTCCCTTTGGAAGCACCAAGACGCTAGGTCAGTAGTAGCCAGTCCCTGCCCCCAAAGAGCTGGACAGTCTAAAGAGACAAGGCACCCACAAGCCGGGGAGAGGGGCAGAAGGCTCAAGCAGAGTCCAAACGGCCTAGCAGTGCCCCGGTTTCTTTTCATTGTGTTTATAACCAGGCGTTTGTTCTTCGCTTTCCCAACAGGAGCACCTGTCTGTGAGTCACAACAACCTCACCACGCTCCACGGAGAGCTCTCTGGCCTGCCGTGCCTCCGGGTGAGTAACCCGCGCTGCGTCCCTCTGTCGCCCCGCACCCTGCTGCGCCGGGAGAGAGCGTTTCTCTGCAGACACTCGGCAGCCAGCCTCTAACGGCTGGCCTCTCCTCTCCCGCTGGTCGACATGAACCCGCCCTGGACGTGTCAATTGGACCGATCCCAGATTGGAAGCCCAGGCTCCCTTGCCAAGCCTGGGCCCAGCTGGGCCAATGGACGAGCTCAGAGAGCTCCCCAGTGCTGTCAAGTGGCACCCATCCGAACAGGGCCAGCGAGCTCTTCAATGTGGCCTTAGAAACTCGCCCCGCTCTAGAGGTTGACTCCTCTAGCTGCGTGGAAATGCTCCGGGGCTGCCTTGGCGCGGGGGTTGGTCTTGTCTGCAGTTACCGCACGCAGGCGTCCTGCGCTGCTTCTCCTTTTGCACTTCCAAGGGCGAGTGCCAGTGCGTCCCCTGGGCCTGTGCGTGGCCGCTGTAGCCGGTCCGTCTCGCGCAGGGGAGGAGGGATTGGCTGCTCTGGAGCCGGATTCTCCCCACGCTGTGGTCAGGGAATGTTTTGGATCTGCTGCAAACCCTGAAGGAGGGCTTAGTCCACAAAGATCCAACCCCCTTCCCCCCCCACACCGCCCCGTGCTTTGGTAACTTCCTGAACCGCTTGCTGTTCTGTAACCCGGCCGGCTTCCTGGCTGCCGCTTCTTCAAGGGGCTGGCACCCTGGGTCGCTCTCAGGCAGAGGGCCTGGCTGCCGGGGCTGTGTGAGCGATGGTGGGGCTGAATGGTTATCCCCCCCACCAGGGGAGAGGGGCTCTGCCTTCTGGGGCTCGCCGCCTGCGGAGGTCCCTCTCGGTGCACCTGTGCCCATGTCGATGCTGTCAGCATATTTAAGGCGTTAACCTCCAGACAGGGGTGTCACGTTACACTTGGAAACCCCTGTTGGAAAGTGGCGATGGGATGGATCACTTGATGGTTACCCGTTCTGTTCATTCCCTCTGGGGCACCTGGCACTGGCCAGTGTCGGAAAACAGGAGACTGGGCTCAATGGACCTTTGGTCTGACCCAATATGGCACATTCTTATGTGGCCCAGCATGGAGCAACTGTGGAGATGCAGCCTGGGGCTCTTCCCTGGTGGGGGTGGGTGCTGGTGCCCTTCTCTGGGGGGTGGGGGAGGCTGGATGCCCTTAACAGCCATTGGCACTGCTGGGAGCTGAGAGGATTGGGCCCTTGGCCTGGCTGAAGCTTTGTTTGGTGGTGGGTCGGAGGAGATCGCTGAATGTAGCACTGTGGCTGAGAGGCTGAACGGGTCGGTATCCACCCCCACCCCCAACCCAGGGCTTCCCTTCCATATGGCAGGAGCTTTTCTGTTCTCTCCTCTGATCCCACCCAGCTTCTCCTCTGTCCCCGTTAGCCCTCCCTTCCACATGCTGCCTCCCTCTGCTAATCCTCCTCCTTTGGGCCCAGCGGGACCTGCTCACGTCTGGTCGGTCTTTGTCCCCGCTCTGATGTGGGTGCTGAGTTGGGCTTGCGAAGGCCCGGGCCGTGCCTGGCTCCAGAGCCGTGACTATAAATCTCTTCCCCTTTTAAGGCAATTGTGGCTCGAGCGAACAGCCTGAAGAATTCAGGAGTTCCTGATGACATTTTCCAGCTCGATGACCTCTCGGTGCTGGTATGTGCTCCGGGTCCCTCCTTGCTCTCCTAACCCAATCAGTGCAGTGAAACTAAAGAAGCAGAGAGATTCCAACAGCATCAGTGGGGAGTGGAAGGGAATCCTAAACCAGCATGTTCAATCAACCCAAAAGAGAGGCAGCATTGTCTAGTGATTAGAGCAAAGGGTGCGAGCCCGGACTCCAGGGTTCAATTCCCTGCCTCTGCCACTGACTTGCTGTGTGACCCCTGCCAAGTCTCTTTGCCTGTCTGTGACACTTTTTAAAATGGGGATTGTACCCATCTTTCTGAATTGCTTTGAGTCAGGGCACATTCATGAATGGTCTAATACTATACAGGCTCAGTAAATCCGGGTTTTAATAAATGGCTCCTCGGTTGTTAAAGTCCAATAGCACCAAAGGTTGCTTATAAACTAGAGCTTAGAACTATCTCTCACCCCACCTACTGATGTGCTTATCCCCACCTATAGCTAGGCGAAGCAGCATGTGATTTATTTATTTTTAATTTATTTTACAGTTTCAGTGAAAAATAATCAACGTTTATTTTTAAGCATTTTTTAGATTTGTATCAATTTAAATTGTCTCAGTTGTGTGAAATTCTGGGAGGGGGGGGTCAGACAGAAATTAGTCAATGACAGTAGATGTTGAGATTCAAAAAGTTAAAGCTTTATAACTGTGAAAACACAAATTGTCAACATCCCAGGTCAATATATATATATAGAGAGTAAATTTCCTTCAATGAAACTCCCAAGTTCTCAAGCAGCATTCTTCTGACATTGCCTATCTGTACATTTTGACTGTTGGAAATATTTTTCTGGTGGTTAGTGTGTGGGTGTGGTGAAATCCACGTTTCCAGTAAAATCGAATCCTTCCAAGCCTACCTAATACCACATTCTACCTGATTGTTTGCAACATGCTTATCACAGCTATTAATCCTTGATTAACCCTTTACAAATGTACGCGTGCCCCAAGGTGTGACTGTCCTGTTTACCGAGGGTGAGCCTGTTAAAAAGTGCCTAACTCCCATTGGCTTTCCATGGGAATTGGGAGTGTAACTTTCTTCGGCAGGTTTCACGGTCCCGGCTCTTATTAATAAAACCTGGCTGTTGTCAATAGGGCTCACCAAAGAACCCAGCTACGGACAGTATAATGACTTCATTCTTGGATCCCCTTTTTAAAGGGACAGGCTGTTAATTCATAGATTCATAGATTCTAGGACTGGAAGGGACCTCGAGAGGTCATCGAGTCCAGTCCCCTGCCCGCATGGCAGGACCAAATACTGTCTAGACCATCCCTGATAGACATTTATCTAACCTACTCTTAAATATCTCCAGAGATGGAGATTCCACAACCTCCCTAGGCAATTTATTCCAGTGTTTAACCACCCTGACAGTTAGGAACTTTTTCCTAATGTCGAACCTAGACCTCCCTTGCTGCAGTTTAAGCCCATTGCTTCTTGTTCTATCCTTAGAGGCTAAGATGAACAAGTTTTCTCCCTCCTCCTTATGACACCCTTTTAGATACCTGAAAACTGCAATCATGTCCCCTCTCAGTCTTCTCTTTTCCAAACTAAACAAACCCAATTCTTTCAGCCTTCCTTCATAGGTCATGTTCTCAAGACCTTTAATCATTCTTGTTGCTCTTCTCTGGACCCTTTCCAATTTCTCCACATCTTTCTTGAAATGCGGTGCCCAGAACTGGACACAATACTCCAGTTGAGGCCTAACCAGCGCAGAGTAGAGCGGAAGAATGACTTCTCGTGTCTTGCTCACAACACACCTGTTAATACATCCCAGAATCATGTTTGCTTTTTTTGCAACAGCATCACACTGTTGACTCATATTTAGCTTGTGGTCCACTATAACCCCTAGATCCCTTTCTGCCGTATTCCTTCCTAGACAGTCTCTTCCCATTCTGTATGTGTGAAACTGATTTTTTTCTTCCTAAATGGAGCACTTTGCATTTGTCTTTGTTAAACTTCATCCTGTTTAACTCAGACCATTTCTCCAATTTGTCCAATACTCTGGGACAGGGTTCTTCTTATGTGTCTGTACAACAATGGAGCCCAGATCCTGATTGGGACCTGAGGTTATCATTGTGTGTATTATGGTAATACCCAGTTTGACCTCTGCTCAGGACCTTAGGGCATCATTGTAATACACTTTACCATAATACACATCATAACCTGCTTGACCTCTAAATTAGTCTCCATTTTAAAGCTGATCTAGTCTGCTCAGGAATAACCTTGGGGATTTCTAATCTTTCTTTCATAAACACGACGATCTAGCTGAGAAATAAGTAAAGGTCCAATAAGCAGTGAGACACCAAAACCCCAATGTGCGTGAGCTCCCCACGGGTGGCTGGCAGTTGCTGACTCTATGAGTGGCGCCGATGCCCCTCTGAAGGGAATCGACGAAGGACAGTACATGGCGTCCTTGTGATCTGGGCAGGTAGCACAAACCACGGCTAAGTTCAAATGACTGGAGGCCACGTCCTGGCTTTGGATATACGCACAGATATATCAGCAGTGTGGCCCTGAAGATCCTTGCGGTGGCGGGAGGGGGCTGATTTCAGCCATGGGAGGGGGGCTGTTGCTGGGTGGGCCACTCCATGCCAGCTGGGATGGAGGGGTTCTCCTGACAGCTCTCTTGCTTCCCCTCCCCCAGGACCTGAGCTACAACCAGCTCACGGAGTGTCCCCGGGAGCTGGAGAACGCCAAGAACATGCTGGTGCTCAACCTCGGCCACAACAGGTGGGTCTGGCTGCTCCGGGGTTCCAGCCAAGGCTGCGTGCAGGGGGTTCCTGGGCTGGCTGCACCAGCTGGGCAGGCAGGTGTGGATTTCCCTGTCAAACAAACCCCCTCTCTGGATCTAGGGGAGGCCTGTGCCTCTGGGGGCTGGTGACGGGTGAGAGAAGGGAGGCAGAATTGACGCAAGGGGCACTTGAGAGCAGCTGGTGAAGATCACTGGGCGCTTGTCCCATGCTGCCCGGTTCCTCCATGTAAATGCCTTCCCTCCCTGGGCCGGGGAAGCCCCTGTGTCCCTGTCGGAACCCGGGAGAGCCCCAGTCTTTGCCTCGCTGCCAGGATCGTGCCCCTGGCTGTGCTGGGTAGCTAGGCTGGGTCACCTCCCTGCTGCCCTGTTGAGCTGGGGAGGGAGCTGAGCCTGGACGTGTGTCTGCACCCAGTTGGGGGGCAGGGTGACTGCTGCACGTGGAGACCTGAGCTAGCGCCAATAACCACAGCAGTGAAGCTGCAGCAGCCCAGGCTGTATGACCCTGGCCTGTGCGGCTTCACTGGCCAAAGATCAAAGCCAGCCCAGGGACGTCTCCTCATGCTGCGGACACGTCGGATTGCAGTGTAGACTCTCGGCACCCTTCCCGGCATGGTGCAGCGCGGCCCTGGGGAGCTCCCTCCATCCCTCCGCCTCTCCTGGCTGGTAAACCGAGCGTGGCTCGTCTTTCTTCTCCAGCATCGATAACATCCCCACCCAGCTGTTCATCAACCTGACGGACCTGCTGTACCTGGACCTGAGCGAGAACAAGCTGGAGAGCCTGCCGCCGCAGATGAGGCGCCTGGTGCACCTGCAGACTCTGATCCTGAACAACAACCCGCTGCTGCACGCCCAGCTCAGGTAGAGGGGTGTCCTGCCGCGCTGCCGGGGTGGTGCGGGCTGCCGGCGTTGTTAGGGGGCGGGACGCGCTCGGGAGAGGTCCCCTTTGGCTGGACTCTCTTCTAGCCGCTCTCCTGGGAAGAGACTTGTCCGGCCAGGGATCCGGTTTCTTGATGGGTTTCTGGTTGCATGGGGCCGCTGACAGACAACCAGACAGGCCTTCTCCCCAATAAACGCCCGAGAACCCAGCCTGGGGGGCCCCTTCGCTCCTCTCCAATGAGCCCTTTTGGAAGGGACGTGGTCAGCCTCTTGGGGCCTGATCCAGAGCCCCCCGTGACATCAATGGAAACCCCCCCCCTTCCCCCCCCACTGACCTTCTGAAGCTTGGGATCCGGCCCTTAAGTCTTTAAATAAGACCAGTTTCTTGGACCTCATGGTGCAGGCCAAGCCCTAAAGACTGGTCGTCTCTCTCTGCCTAGCTCTGGCAGGCACAGGTCCTGTCCCCCGCCCCCCACCAGCAGCATGGCCTCTAGAAAGGAAGGGCTGATCCGGCTCCCATGGCCCAGTCCACCCTTGGCCTCCAGCCGGGTGCAGGGATGGCTCTTGCGGAATGGGCTCATGTCCCTGGGGAGCTGGGCGGAAACCCAGCAAAGCTGAGACCAGGTTTAAACCAGTCCTGGCGTGGACGTGCTGCATCCCGCCGCCTCTTAGAGATTCATAGACTCTAGGACTGGAAGGGACCTCAAGAGGTCATCGAGTCCAGTCCCCTGCCCTCATGGCAGGACCAAATACTGTCTAGACCATCCCTGATAGACATTTATCTAACCTATTATTGAACCAGAGCTTGGGATCCTGCTCTCCTCCGGTCCGGGATCTCCCCGCCAGTCCCTGGATCGGCCCAGCGGTGGAGCTCCCCTCACTGCTTCTCTCTCCCTTTCCATGTAAAGGCAGCTCCCTGCAATGACCGCTCTGCAGACCCTGCACCTGAGGAACACGCAGCGCACTCAGAGCAATCTGCCCACCAGCCTGGAGGGCCTGAGCAACCTCGCAGGTGAGCCGCCCATGGAGTCCGGGGCTGAGGGGAAACATTGGGGGCACATGTGGGGAAACAGCACCTCTCCGGGCCTCCTTCCCACTGCTGCCGGGCAACAGGGCCGGTCCAGCGAGGAGGCCCTGCACTAGGAGAAAGGTGTCCCACTCCCGGCGAGCCACTGGCTGAGCTCACGCCACCCGCATGGCAGCTCGTGTCCACACACGGTGACTGTCCCCAGCGCTGGGGACAGAGCTGGCTGGGTGCATCTCCCAGGACCAGGCCTGGCTGATCCTGTCATCCACAGCGGCATCTTCCCTGGTCCAGCCGCTCCTCCTCCCTCCATCCCACAATGCAGTGCCTTGTGTCTGGGGAAATTACCCAGAAGCCCCTGCTCCCAGTACCAGCGTGGGCAGCCCATGGCATAGCTTCTCCTGCAGTCCCAGAGCGCACTGGGACAGCCACCTGGTTGAGCCGCATGGCTGGGTGGGGCAAGGATGATGCCCCTGAAATGTTCCTGTTGCTTCTGGCCCCGTCCTGAGCCCGCTGGCCAAGCTCCTATTGGTGGAGCTGGTCCAGGCTCTGACGCTGGGAAGAGTGCAGCTGTTAGATGGGCTGCCTGCCCCGTCCCTGTGAAAGTGGATGCGTTCGGGCCAGGACCTGCTAGATTATCCTGGCATCACATCCGCGCACTCACAATTACTGTGTAACCCAGCCAGAGCCCTTGGTTCTCCGTGCCTCTCCGCTGACCTGGGCCCAGTCCGGTTGGTGGCTTCACATCCCTTCTGCTCTTCTTCCCCAGACGTGGACCTGGCCTGCAACGAGCTGAGCCGGGTCCCCGAGTGCCTCTACACCCTCTCCAGCCTGCGCCGTCTCAACCTGAGCAGCAACCAGATCTCCGAGCTCTCCCTCTGCATTGACCAGTGGACCCAACTGGAGACCCTCAATCTGTCGCGGAACCAGCTCACCTCACTGCCCGTACGTAGCGAACTCCCCCGAGATGACATCAGGGAGCTGGCTGGCTTCCCACGGCCAAGCTTAGGGCAAGGTCTCATTGGGACAGGCCTGGTGGCTTTCTCTGGAGCTTGGTCCTTGGCTTGTGAAGCTGTGAATGCCACAGCGGCATCACAGACCCGAGGGGCTGGTCCCCCCCCCCATCCCGCTGGCTCCCCATCCTCTGACTCAACAGGCCTGTGCTTTCCTCGCTGATTCAGGCCGAGCTAAGAGCTCCTAGGCCCCCACTTACCATAGCATCAGCGCCCCTCATGGTTTGTAATGGGTTTAGCCTCACAGAACCCCTGGGAGGCAGATGGTGCTGTTATCCCCATGGTACAGTTGGGGAAACTGAGGCACAGAGCGGCTAAGTGACTTGTCCAAGCAGCTGGCAGGATGCCCTGGACAGTAGCCCCTGCAGAGCCCAGTGGCCCAGGCTATCGGCTCTCCCTGATCTGTGGCACATGTCTCTCTCTCTGTCCCCAGTCTGCCATCTGCAAGCTGACCAAGCTGAAGAAGCTCTACTTGAACTCCAACAAGCTGGACTTCGACGGCATTCCCTCTGGCATCGGCAAACTCACCAGCCTGGAGGAGTTCATGGCAGCCAACAACAACCTGGAGCTGATCCCCGAGAGCCTGTGCAGGTGAGCGACCCGCCGGCCGCCCTGGCCTGTCCGAGTTGGGCTGGGTCTGGGAGGACAGAAGCGGGATCCTCCCCGCAGCCTGGGGCAGAATCTCCCCCAGGTGGCTGCTGTGTGGGGATAGGGAAGGAAGCCGTTCGCTCGCTTTGGATTCGAGCGGCAAGGCCGACGGGTCCTCTCCATCCCCGTGCGCCTTCTGGCTGCCGGTTACCCACACCCCCCGAACACCTGCAAAGGGCTGGACTGCCCAAGGGACCGGCACCCGCCGCCGTCGCTGGCCTGGGTGGGGACTCGGCACCTCCGACATCAGCCCTGCTATGTGTTGAGTTTAGCTGCCGCTGACGACGTCCGCAGCCTGGCTGCGAAAGCCCCCGCCCCACCCCCTGCGAGCTCACAGCCCCCTCCGAAGCCCGGCGGGGGTGGATGACGACTCGGTCTGACTTCTCCAGGGCAGACCCGCTTGGTGCAGATCTCTGAGCTGCCGCCCCCCTCCCTGGCATGGCTGGGGCGGAGGGGAGGGAGGAGCAGGTGGGTGCGTTCTGCAGAGGGGAAGGAAGGGCGTTGTGTTTCTCGCAGGCGAAGCTGGGCCTGAGCGTAGAGCAGCATCCGGGTGGGACGGGGCAGATGGACGACGTACGGAGCAGGGAAAATCTAAGGACTCGGCTCAGGCCGAGCTGGCTTCCCAGCCCCCTTCCATGAAGAGCTGAGCTGGCTTGTGATGGCTCCCCCAGCTCCTTCCTCTGGGTGGCGCTGTCCCCTCTGCCCCCTGCGTCTCCCCTGCTGGGATCCCCCGGCCCTGCCCTGCTGCTCCGCATCAGCCCAGCGCGTTTCGGGAGCGGGGGCCAGGCTTCTCCGAGCGTCTCTTCTGCCCCTCCAGGTGCACGAAGCTGAAGAAGCTGGTGCTGAACAAGAACCGCCTGGTCACCCTGCCGGAGGCAGTTCATTTCCTGACGGACGTCGAGGTGAGGCCGCGGAGGGACCCTCCGTGCTTCTCCGGCGCCTGCCGGGCAGACATCCCAGGCCCCGTGCTGCCGTGGGAGCCGGTCCCTGGGGGGATCCAGGCAGCCCGGGGGAGTGCGGGCTGGTGTGCGAGCGTAGTGCACGGCTCCGCTCTTGACCCCTCTGCGGAGGGTAACCCCACCCGCAGCGCCAGCCTGTGCTCCCCACTCCGAATGGGCTGGGCAGGGGGGAGGCTCTCTGCGCCCCTTGCCAGCCATGGGGTGGCCTGAGTTAATGTACTGGGTCAGGATAATCCCATTGCACAGCGGTAGGAAACTGGGAGCCTAACCCCATCCAGGATGTGGGCCTGAGGCTCTAAGGGTTAAGACCTGCGGCCAGGCAGCATGGCACTGGGACTACAACGAAGGGACTGTGGGGCTCTAGCCCCAGGCCCAGTCCTACTGATCATGCTGCCCCTCGCCCTGGCCCAGCACATCCCAGGGCAGGAGCTGCTCCGATGGAGCCGTCTGAGAGTCCTTTGCTCCCTCTGCCGCCCAGCCAGGCCTAGCGAGCTGGTGCCATGCTGAAGGGGGTTATGCCATACAGCACGAGTGAGTGGGGAGACCCTGGATCACCCCTGCTGGGCCTTGCCTGGCGTAGGATCCCTGCCCGCCGGGCCTGCACTGGAGGGGGTGGAGAGGCCCCCTGCCGACGACCAGTGTGTTCGTCGAGGGGCCTGTTTCCAGGGTCGTCTGATCTGTTCTGAGTGGCGCTTGGCTGGCTGTGGGCCCTCCCGCCTCGGTTAAGCCAGGGCCCCTGTGCGCCCGGTGCCGGACGTGGGTCTCGTGTTAGCAGGGGAGGGCGTGGCATCCCAGCGCCTGGGAAACGAGTCCCGTTCTCCCTGCCCGACTGTAGCCTTGCACCATCAGACACTGACCCTAAACCCTGATGGGGCACAGGAGGATCCCCTCCCCCGGCCAATGCCCCCGGAGCTCTCCGGGGCAGAGCGAGAACCAGCTGGTGCCCAGGTCTCTCTTGTGGCTGGTGTTTGGATCACCTCTCTGTCCCGTGCCTCTGCAGATCCTGGACGTCCGGGAGAACCCCAACCTGGTGATGCCCCCCAAGCCGGTGGACAAAACCTCTGAGTGGTACAACATCGACTTCTCCCTGCAGAACCAGCTGCGCCTGGCTGGCGCCTCGCCCGCCACCGTCGCAGCAGCTGCAGCAGGTGAACCACAGGGCAATGGGGGGGAAGTCACCTCCAGCTGAAGCTTGGCTCCTGGGGAGCCAGGAGGACTGGGAATCACAGACGCTGGGAGCAGGGTACAGAACCAGAGGGCTCCTGGCCATGCTGTGGCATGTCTCTCCTGTCGTGGCGCCAGCAGTGCCAAGCGATTCCTGCCTTGGCCTGAGAGCGCCCCACGGCGCAGGGTCCCTCATCCCTCCTGGGGTCTTGAGTAGGTGTCGGTGATTTCTGGGTTGTGATCTGCCAGAGCTCACCCATATTGCCTGTGTTCCCAGGGAGCGGCACGAAGGACCCCACGGCCCGCAAGATGCGGCTTCGCCGGCGCAAGGACTCGGCAGCGCAGGATGATCAGGCGAAGCAGGTGCTGAAGGGGATGTCGGACGTGGCTCAAGAGAAGAACAAGAAACTGGAGGTAGGAAGGGGTGGGGCGGGGCGATGAGTGCTGTCGGTTACACACACACACACACACACACACACACACACACACACACACACACA